CATCCACGTATCAAGTTTCGAAGGATCAACTTTTGCATACAGATAACGTGTCAAAAGTGAATAAGAAATTTTGTCGGACGTACTATAACTAATAAAAGAGGAAAAACATTAATATTTTACGCTATGATTGTAATTCTTATAATCCTTAAGCTTCCAAAATTTCTGAGAAAAGATAACATTACATGTTTGTCAAACATGTTATGTATGATTACAATAAGCAATGAATCATTTAACCGTCATTATTGGAGGAAGCCTTTTTTTAATCACGGTAGGTAGGCATGTGGTACCCGTGATGTTAGTGGCAGTGGAGTCCAGAAATGAACACAGCTGTTGCAGCAGTTATATCTGCCACACCAGCCATCTTCACTCACCTTCTAGCCTGTAAAAATGCTTAACTTTTGAAGGACACCATAACCGATGCGCAAAGCATTCCAGTAGCGATATATATTTTTACGACAGAAACAATAGCACATTTAAAAAATTTGTTAGATAAATAGATGAGATAGATCACTTTTATTTATGTTGAAGATACATGTTTCTATGGTCATATGGTCAATACATATATTTATTTATGAAAGTCGTCAGAATAAAATAGATATTTTATGTATAAGCATGATGCAGGAGGTGAATCTGCACTTGCCGTCATATAAGGTGACCAAAAAAATATCTGCAGCTCTTATGCATATGCAATAATGCATATATCTGGCACGCAGCCATAAACATTAGGCCCGCGAGATTGTTTGAAGATAAATATCCCTGTATGAATATAGCTATAACACAGCAGTTGGGATATTATTAGTCTGACGAAGTTAAAAAGTACATGAATAGCTTAAATATCCAACATTGACCCAACTAGATGTGTATCATAATAAAAAGTTATATGTACAGAGTTGATGTGATTAATGAAAGCAAGCTTTTGAAAAGAAGCCATTTGCGTAGCTAAATAGAAATCCGTCCGTTTTAAAAAGTGATGACATGAATTCCATTGACGGTAGGTGAGGCCTAGATTTGTAGGGTAGACGACCGAGTACAGTAGGGGTTGTGACCCCTAACCAAAAGCACTTCACACGAAGTCCTTCTACCCTCGTTAAGGTCTTTAATAAAATTCACCTGATATCAACTTAATGTCAATAACACAGTAAATATGACGGTAATTTATACCAAATTGCCAATAGTCCACTCCAGAGACTAGCCTATGCCCTATTCATCAAAGCTTACAAACCCTGTATTACAAGCAATATGCCTGTAAAAAGAATAATTTTATTACAATTATGTGTTTATCAAACGTACACATGTAAATTACGTGTTAAAGTGTCATTATTTATATCACAAGTATTTTTTTTTTCGCTTGTATTTGTGATTTCTTTGTAACCTAAAACTTTAAAAAAGTCGTGAAAGCCTACACGTTCACAAGTGACACTTTACAAGAGCGTTTTTACAAGTTCGTGTAACATCAAAAAAAATACCTAATTTTATGCTTGTAAATTCTACTTGTAAGTTCTATCATAAAAATGTATTCAGTATTTCTCTCTCCATGGTATTGAACTCCGGTTCCCTGCCAATGTAGAGTAATGCCTTCTGCCTTGATACACTTGTGCCGACGTTTAAAACCTTTTTCAAAAAAAAAATATGGCTCAGTCACTCCTTGATAGCTAACACCCCACTGAACCCATCACCGAAGCTGGATAATGTTCACGTTGTACTTTGCTGACTAATTAGGAAGCTTCTATAGAGCTTCGAGCATAAACTCGGTCATTCTGAGGCTCAAGCACGATCTTTGACAGATCCGTAATCTTATCGCATCGTCAAAGTTTCTATGAAAACAAACTAGCTCTTTCAATACAAAATTTGATGATGTGCTTGGGCCTCTGCTTGTTAAAACATTAATCAATAGTAAAAAAAAAACTCGTCTGTACATTAAAATCCCATTCAATAAATACATTTTTTCTACGACCTCTTTTTGCTTACCGCATAAAAAGTTGCATTGATTTTACCACCATATTCATTTTCAAAATAATGAACAGTGCGTCTCTTATTGCTACTAGTCCTAAGTTATATGTTTAAATACGCGATATGGTTCTAGGCGCTTTATTCATTTCCCGAGATAAAATTCTACATTGCTTTTATGTCACAAACAAAAACAGAGGTGGTTCCGTTGTAACTATCAATACTTTATACACAACCATTTAGTTAATACCAAGTGGATGCAGTTTCAAAAATTTCATTGGGCTCAATACCTAGTACCTACAGTGTGTAAAGCTATCGCAGCAATTCGGTTTTCCTATGTCCCCACTTCACTCGATTTTAATATCACGAAATTATTAAACACCAATTGGTGCGGAAATCCACATTTTCCGGTAGAACATGTTCATTGAACATGACCTTGGTTTTATCCAAGTTCATCCGTAGGCCGATGCGTATAGAAGAGTCAGCCAGGTAATGCAGCATTTTTTGTAGGTCCTGCAGGGTTTCTGCCATGATGACGATGGATGTCGTCTGCAAATCGCAAATGAGAGATGCGTTCGCCAATTATGTTTATGCCACGTCCTTTCCATTTCAGCGTCTTGAACATATCCTCCATTGCATTAGTTAACAATTTCGGGGAAATAACGTCCTGTTGTCTCACTCCACGATGCAACGGTATGGGACTTGTTTGCTAATTCTGTACTTGGACAGATATGGTGGCGGCTTCGTGGAGACATCTAATCACTTGGATGTATCGCCAGTCGACTTGGCAACGCTGTAGGGACTCCAGGACAGACCAGATTTCAATCGAGTCAAAGGCCTTCTCATAGTCCACAAATGCTAGGCACAGGGGCTGTTTGCACTCTTGTACGTTATGACAATAATAATTAAATAACACTTTTTAATAGCAACAGCAATGTATGATTTCGCGATAGTTGTGGTATGTCTGTATGGGAACTGATTCTCCTGATATCTGTGCTTAGAACTTTATCAGAATTTGCCATTTGATAAAGGCATATCCTTCTTTCAAAATACTGTTTCTATGATACCTACTCAAAATAAGTGCCTACATAGCACTCATGCAATGGTGGAAAAGTAATCATAACGTACAACAAATACCTATACTAGAGGTCAAACAGAATAGACAGTTATGTTTTATTTTTATTTTTTAAGCATTTAACTGCTAGATGTTTAAATCTTAAGAAATATTTACTAAAAAAAAACTAAGGGTTTGAGTCCAGTCTGCTGCCTGGTCCGCATGGATTTTTTCTAGTAAACTTTTCTTAAGAAAAGACAGTTTTCCTATCTTGAGCTAGTCAGTGATCAAATCGGCTCCTATTTTGAGATGGAGAAATCATAAAAACTGGTAAGTAAACTACTTGACCATTAACATCATCGCAGAATATTTTTTGCATTAATAAAAATAAGATCTGGTAGTGTATCCCTCCCATCATACAATTTCAATGAAAATAATTCTTTCTCTGTTCTTTAAAAGGAGAAAAGTGTGAATATTTATGATAAATAGTTTGTTGATTATATTCAGTGGTACAAAACACTGTAAATTTCTAAGATTATATTTCCATTATATCAAACATACTATACTTATGTATGGGTTACATTTAAATAATAATAATCTTATCAACATCTTATGCACGCAAATTGTATCTATTTTGTAGTGTGTGTTGTAACTTTTTTAGCATAATTTCATTTCAAAATTATACTTACACATGATTTTTCTCTACATAGTTATTTCATTGGTTTTATAATTTTATCATCTAGCAAAAGTAGGTTGCTGGACCTGGACTTTGAATGTGTTTATTTAAATAGATTTATTATTAAAACACTGTGAGAGTGATACTACTCTATTGTAAGCTTCTACAGGCTGTTGCAGCTCCTTATCTAGTTGTTGTTTATCAGGCAGTATATATATCTGTCGGCTACCTATTTTACATTTTAAAAAATTCAAACAAACAAGATCACAAGGAACTTGTCCATGATTTAATATTCAAGAAATTTTGTGTGTGTTTGTGTGTGTGTGTGCGCGTGCATGTGCGGTGCGTGTGTGTGTGTGTATAATTATATTCTTATATGTCAGTGTTTTCTTTATATCAAAAATTACCTGGACTTTAAGGAGGAGGACTTTAAGGAGTTAAGCAGCAATATTTTTTTATTTTTAAGGCCAACTTTTAATCATTGTGATATTCAGTGTGGAGGTTGAGGACAAGGTTATTTCCTCTGAGATATATGATCTTTCAACATATCCCTGATGTATCAGTAACTAATTAGCTAAAATGGTACATACATGTGACAGTGGGTGTAAACCTTAAAAATAACAATAAATAGCTGAAAAATACAACAAACATTATAAGAATTCTAACACAAGTTCTTTTTTAAATTAAATACTAAGGGATTGAATAAACTTTTAGAAAAAAAACTGTTGTTCAAAACATTCAAAATTTATAAAGAGATAAAATTTGGGAGTTTAGATTTTGGAAGTACATCTACAAAACTGCACATCCAATTTTAAATATTCAGAATGGACTTTCAAAATAGAGACAATTTCTTTATTTAATTTTTTAAATTAAAGTTGCAAAATTAATTTCTCACTGACCATTCTTTGGAGAAAGCTATTTTATGTAAATCTTGTGTGTGGTTCAATATGATTAAATAACAATCATATTTAATCCACATTAATAGCTGTACACAATTGTATTATTAGTAGACTTTCTTAGTTCTCTACAAGTTTTTGAAGACATAAGTTAAATATTTAACAGTCTGTTATAACTGAGGACTAGTTTAAAAACCTAGTTAAGTTTAGGAAAATAACTTCCAATGATGTTTAGTCATCTATGAGTCTCATAGCATCCAACATAAACATTTGGGGTTATGTGAATAACCAATAAGAATCTGTAAACCAATTTTATCTCATTGTCATGACTGATGTCACTATTATGAAGAATAAGTAGTTTAAATATGTATTCAAACCATAAAATCGTGAAGAAACTGAGGAACTTTGTTTATAAAGAAATACTTACACAACCATCCCATAGGCTCCTTCCCCAATGTATTGCAGATTGGTATATCTAGGGCCGACTTCAAAAACCTGACCCCGGACAATTTCCGCGTTAGGGTTAGTGCCAACGGCGCCTGCAGCCTCAGCCATCGTTACAGTCCAATTTAACAGTGAGCAGGTACTGTTTACTCCAACACGAAGCACTTTTTAAAATTCAGCACAAAAATCAAAATGCTCACAATATATCTACGTTTCGAACAGTTATTTGCCACCAGAAGTTCAATAATTAACCAAAACAAACTACTTTTATCCGACCTACATTATCCACATAGGAACAAAATCATCCACTTGTCACTCGCTTATCATTCTGTTGTTCGAGTTGGACACTCCCGTACAGACGCAGTACCGTTACGAAAATGAATCAACAATAGAAAATTGACTACTATCTCTTTCGAACGTATGTTCGGATACATACTTCAATTTCGACTTGATGGATATTTTATTCAGACAACATGCAATAAGTATTTGGTGAGCTTCTTTTACGTTTCAGCATTTTACTTTTTGACGTGACAACGTCTTAAATTAGGTTGCGGCTGGGAGTCACTTATGAAAAAGTGTAACGCTCGGTAACGTTACGATGAGTTTAAGTTTACATGTACAATGTTTTAGTAAACAAAATATATTTCTATAGTTAAAATTTGTGCAATTCTTATTTTCATTCAATTCCTTGTTCCTATTGTGCAATTTAATTATATTCATATCAATAAATATTCTACCGAGAAAAAGACGTTGTCACGTAAAATCTTCGCCCGTAAAACCGACTTTACAGGCAACCATTTTTTGTCAAGATATTTTCGGTGAATGGTAACGAAATCTAAAAAGAAAATGTTGTGTCTGCGTATGTCTGGGGAGTGATAATCTAGTGATAGAAGTATCACAGGTAGTCTGTGCCTTAGATGTTAGTAGGATTTCCCTAGTCTGTGCTGTGCTTTGACAGTGCTCTGACAGCCATGTCATTCATTGTCTCTGAACTGTCAATGTCAATGACGGACCATGGGACGGACGGACAAGGAAAATAACAATTAATTAACTTCATATCCAAATAAAATAAGTTATTATTTTGGAACGTGTATTTTTGTCCGTCTTTCAAGATTAATAGTAACTCTAGTTTGTAGTTTCCTGAATCATGTATGGAATAATCGTTTAACTCTTGGTGGTTAGTGACCTCGTCGAGTGAAGTTGAAGGACTATTCGTGCAATTTGTTTAGGTATGTCGGTTTGGTCAGCCAGCACAGTTGGAAATAATTACCACTGTGCGCACTCAGCCGGTCGTTACAGTCAGTGTAAAACTTGGTGTCCAAAACTGAGCAAGGTAATATGTCACTTGCTACCATGTAAATAAATCTAGTAATTTGTAGCTAGTTAATAAATAAATTTTGCTTTAATTAATCGTCCTATTAAGTTTTTATTTTATTAAATAACAGGTTACTTGCGCCATAATATTTTGAATGACTGTGTGACCTGAACAATGCTTGTTTTTATAATCACAATCTTCTTTTAATACCTACTTTATTCTTGTGTTTATGAACTGAAAACAATTATATTTGCTCTAAATATTTGATGACGATTCACGAATTTCCCTCTGATGCACTTGACAAATCTTATTATGTATTTTTGCTTCAGTTTTGATTTATCTTTATGTTTCTGTAGTGATACAGGTTTACCTTATTTAGAGTTGAAGCACCACACCAGATTATCATCATTACTTGTTAACAGTGAGTTTATTACTTGTTGTGAATTGGGCTTAGAGCATCTAAGGAATTGGGTTATTGGAGCTTAGACTGCTTAAAAACTTATTGTTTGTAGTCTTGTGGTCAAAGTGTGCAATTTATAGGTAATAGGTATGCCGAAATGATACTATGCTGAAAATTTATTGATACTGATTAACACTTTTAGGTATTAATTTGTTAAAAAGTATGTAAAGTTAATAATATTTAACATTTGCATGTAATGTATGTATTTTTGAACCTTAAAAATAAAGGATAAGTATTTTTTATGTAATGACTGTGCTGTCAGTATCAATAATATATAATTAATTGTAAAGTCAATTTATTTGTATTACTGTTTTTTGGGTAGATGAGTAATAATCCTAACTGAATAAGTATTAATATTGCACTTTAGTAAAAGTTAACATTTCATTGTTCTAATTATCAGACTATGTAAATTCCCTATTAATTAACTTTACAAGATGAAAAGACTGTATAAATAATGAATTAAATATACTTATCATTCCATTAAATATTAGGTTTTAGATTTAACTGGTGAAAAAATATAATTAAATGCTTTTTTTTATAAATTCTATTAGATAATTTTTAATCCCTATTTCTTAAGTGTTGATTTTGGAGTTACATGTTTTGGTAATTAGGCCATTTGTTCACTGCTTTGGGAATGAATATCACTGATTGATACTTAAATCACCATTAAATAATAAAAATAAGTAATAATAGAAATAAAATTATTGCAAATTTATGCTCTTTTTGCTGCACCTTATGTCATTTCCACCAGATTGATTTGAAGGTAACTATCTAATTTGAGTGATGTTAAGGAGAAAGCGACCAGTGGACATTTTTTAAGTACAGAAAATTTGTTCTATCTATATACCCATGTTTAAGTTTGATTCTGTTTGATCCCAAAACTGTCTGCTGGTCGCTTTCTGGTTAACAGTGCTCATTAATCAATACAGTTTTCATAGATACATCAATAAACATGGGACAATCTACACTGAAATTCATGTTAGTTTGTCTTTGGCAGCATAAGTGCCTGATGTCTGCGGAAACGCCAATCCAGTCTGCAGATGCACTGCATACCCCTGCCTACCTATCATGGAGGAAACTACAGCTCAGCCGTGCCAAGCTGAAGGCTTCCAGCAAAACCTCAGCATTACTGTCTGGTTTCGCTATGGTAAGACATAAGATTGTGGTAAAGAGAATTTTGAAGTTTAGTTAAACAGGGGAACTTGATGGCGCATTAGGCAGCGATTGTTGAAGTGAGGAAAATTTCGCAGTGGTCGGTCATTGGATGGGTGACCAAAAATTTTCTATCTTCAGGTTCTCCATGCTTAGGAGTGCACGTTGAGCCGTCGGACCAGGCTGCACATGCAGTCGTTAGCACCCACCAATCCGCACCAATCAGCAGGGGGTACATTAATGGGCACATGGTGATGTTGATGTAGTTAAACATAGAAACAACTTTCATAAAGTCACATCATACGATTATAATGGGTAACCAAATGTTTAGTGTGACAAATTAATGTGACCATGGATATTTATTATTGTCAGATCCTCTGTATTGTAAAATACTAGCTGGTAATGTGTTCAGAGTATTTTAATGCTATGATCAATCACATGCAGGTAATGGACTATTCATCAGATCTGCACACAGAATGATAAAGATATTTTATCTTGTGGCTTATTTGCTTGTTCTTCTTAAGCCTAATAAATTTAAATCGGATTTCAGTCTTCTCTGTAACAAAGAAAAGTCCACAGTGTTTTATTTTTATTGGCTTGTGAAACTTATATCAATAAAGTTCAATGTCAAAGGAATTTGCCCAAAAATTGACATTTTTGGAAAACTACAACTGTGTGGCTGTCTGTGCATCTTTTACTCATTAATTTGTAAAACAGATATGTTTTTACGTTGCATAGCCTTAACGAAATTTTAAAAAAATCAGATAGGGTCAAGTAGGGGACATTGTAACATGGGGCACAGTGTAAGGAATATCTATGCCCTTTTTCATATTGTTTTTTATAATACTGGCTACCCCTGTTTTTGAAATGATAACTTCTTATTGAAGGGTAAACGGCTTCGTTACATAACGCGTTACGACGCCAGTCTGACTGGTTTCCCTTCCTCTCACGCTTACGGCAGCGGTAGGTAGCCTCCTCCTCTCTCACTCTAACCCGTAGCGCCGGCACCGCTTAGATTAGATTAAGTTATCACTTCTGTAGTGCGTCCCGAGACCTACACGCTTTTTTATACGATTTCTTCTGTTTTAGTTTTTTGAATCTCTTTTTTAGTTTTTTCCTTCACTGGGTGCTCTTTTTTTTTGCACCACTTTAGCCCTTCTCTTATTTGGCTATAGTCTGAATTGACATGTTTAATTAATTTTATATGCCGCCATGTTAAGCAACTGTAATCAGACGTCAAATGGCCGGGTATAATACAGATATTGAGAGAGAGAGAGATATTCCTTATGTTACACTGTCCCCCACTTCACCATACACATTGAGGCGATTCATCCCATTAACATTGAATAGCTGCATGTTATACTGACATGATTTCTTTAATGTTAAATAAAAATCAAATTCAGCAGGTTTAAAATGCGTTTTTACTACTTTTAATATCTCTACCTTTACAGGCTGCGTTCTCAAAATTTAGGATAAAGTTTGCGAAACTTAGATATATCTATAAAAGTATTTAAAACGAATTTTAAACCCATTGAAAACTTGTTTTATTTAATAACTGGTGTGAGTGAAAACATAAGTAATAAATATTTTTTAATGTTACCTCAGGTGGCCATGGTGGAGGTGCAGTTAAATCCGCCCAACTCGACGGCGGTGCCTACTGAGATGCTGGTGGCTTTCACAGTATGCACCACATTGTTAGTGGCAGTCCACATGCTCGCCCTTATGATAAGCACCTGCATACTGCCCAACATCGAAGCAGTGGGCAACCTGCACAGCATAGCTCTGGTGCACGAATCTCCCCACGAGAGACTCCATTGGTACATCGAAATCGCGTGGGCCTTCTCCACTCTCCTCGGCCTTATACTGTTCCTTATAGAAATAGCTATACTCTGCTGGGTTAAGTTTTATGATTTGAGCGCAACGGCCGCTTGGTCCGCGTGCGTCGTCCTTATTCCCGTCATGATAGTATTTCTCGCTTTCGCCATACACTTCTATATGTCACTAGCAACGCACAAATACGAAGTCACAGTGACGGGGATCAAGGAATTGGAACTGCTCAAGGAACAAATAGAGATGGGTGACCACGAGGGCCGTATGAACAATCTAACGCTATTAGATCAGAGTCGCATTGTCTGATAGGCAGCATTTACATAATGTTTCATCTTCCTGCGGAATGTTAATAACTTCGTTGTAAGTAACGACTTCCATGTTTGCTCTGTTTATACATTTTCCTTTTTCCTATGCTATTGTATATATAACTTGTATTTAGATGTTGTAAGATTGTACTTATTTTAAGCTCATCTTTGGGATGAAATCAGTAGGTACAGTAATTCCTAACTAATGGATGGAAATCTCATGAAATTGTATAATCCAAATGATAGAAGTTATTGAAATTTCTATTGGAACTTGTAGGCACTTTGATAGTTACATTAAATGCGAAAATTACTTAATTACGATAATAATGCATTGTTTAGCCATTTCTGTAGTGCCCGATAATTATATTGATTAAGTTCTTTGAACATGACAACGAATCTCTTTCGCAGTAGTGATCATCAATTTGTGCCAATCAACAATAGAAGCAATCAATACCAGCCTCGCTCGTTAATCACATTAACGTACCTACTTTGGTAGATTAGTAAAGCAAAGTTTTGTATTTTTGTCATAATATGAAAAATACGGTAATTTTATTTTCCAAGGACCATAATGTAAAAATAAAAGATACCTAATTACTTTTGACGAATTTGTTTAGTCCTAGGTACCTTCTTCTTAATTTGTCAAAAATTCCGACTGATGGCATGCTTAGCCATAATGGCCGGACATAATAGATAAGATTGCCATAATTATAATTTCCTTTCCCAATTAATAGGTCTGACAAAACAGTATTCACAATCTGTTTGAATAGACGACTGTGAAGTAAGTAGGTAACTTAGTACAAAAACTGTGTAAACCGTAGTCGTTATCTCGAGGCTCGCGCTAACATGCGCTTACGCCGGCCTCCAATGCGACTAGGGTTGCCAGTTGGTCAAAAATCGACTGGTTTCTCCCGACATTTCATTTGATATCCAGACTTCTGACAAGTGACGAAATCGCCCGACAAACTGACATGACGATACACTTACCAATCTGAAATTTTACGCGAGAAGTGGGGCTCATGAACTGTCCATTCTCGTCACTGTCACTTTCGGCTCGGACAGGAGGCATCCAGCGAGGAGGGGGGGCTGATTCTCCCGAAAACAATCATAAAATCCCGACATTTAAATATATTATCCAGATATTATGACTTCTCGATCTGGCAACCCTATATGCGACGCCTATTGTTTATTCTTTTAATATAGCCACGAATTGATACACCGTAGCGATTAAACGAAGGACAAGTTGCCACGAACGTTTCAAACAGGTAATACTTGTCTTGGTCTAAAATGCAGAATTCGCTTCTACTATCATAATTTATTATATAGTCACCCAATTTGCTGTCTTATAGAAATTTTATTCGTGCTGAGTAAATAATGCGAGACCGCAATGTCTCCTCGTGACGCAACATTGATACAAAGAAAAATTCAAATCTTTTTTGGCACATGTGTGAACAGGCTTTAGCGCAAATACTTAAGAACACCGGATTATTCAACTGCTAATTTATTTATCAATATGTTATATATCAATCGAATTACTATGTACCTAAAGTTCAAAATCGTTTGTGATAATTTGATTTTGAATAATTGCTGTTTTACAAATTGATGTAATTTTTATATACCAAAATACCAACTTGTAACTTTAAAAAACTACTTAAAAGTGTTGATTCTTCTATCCCCGAATAAAGCTGAAAAGTAAGAATAGTGAATAACTAAGAAAAGTTAAGTTAATGAACCATGCCAAAATAAGAAGATTGACTGTGTCTGTATAGGTATTATATAGGGATGGAAGAACTAAACCGTAATAATTACCTAATTATTACTGTAAGTAGTTAGAATTCTAAGTTATTTTATTATCGACAGCGGTAAATACATTTCATCGGTTGCATAAGTGCCTTTGACGATATGATTATATGGCGTAGTGTAACATTGCACTATAGTTATGGTGCGTTGTTTACTTTAATAGCGATATGGGAATTGCTCAAATGCTCACGATTTTGAATTTATTACTGTTATTTTAAATTATTTGCCTATTTATCGAGGGGTACTGCTATTTATTGTCGCAGATAATGTGAAAGAGCAATATTTGACTGCATCTACGTTACTTAATCCAATAAAAGTACTCTGTGATATATTAATGACATGTAATTAATCGATAAAAAGTTAGGATTAAGGATTATTATTTGTTAATTTTTAAGATGTATTTATTTATATCTTTGCTTTTGTGCGTAAGTATAGCCATGGTGTAAGAAAATATGTTGTTTTCCCAGTGTTGATTTCCATCTTGTCATATTTTTCATCATCATTCTCTAACTCTAGCTCTCCTGATAATTTTGAGATTCGAAATCCGTTTGAGTTATACCTATTTCATTAAATTGAAAAGACAAAACTTTGAAGTAACTACACTTACACACGAATATAGCCCTTATTGTGTACGCATTAAAAGCACCGTTTAATTAAAAAACTGTACATTTAAATTTATCCCGATGTACCTGCCATGGCTGTAAACGTATCTTTCTACAGTCAGCGCCAAAAAGATCGAATTGTAAAATCATTCTGATGTTTGTTTATTATCTACACACGCAATTTAAGCTTATTTTTTAAGCTTCCAAATAGTCACCGCATCAACTCGAGCCGTTCAGTATTTTTTTGTATAAAACTCCCTACTGAAACGTACACTAATCTGAATCGTAACGTCGCTCGCGAAGAAAAACGAGCTTGTCCCGAGATTAACAGTTTTTAATTTTGGCTAAATACAAACAACTAAACAAGCTATCTGTAGGTAAACCGCTTAACTGAGACCTCGCCTGCGGGGTAAAGGGTGTGGGGGAGGACGAAAACGGGGACCGTGATAGGTGCGGGCGGCAGGCACATTCTTGACAAAATGACAGGCGCCCGCTTAGTTAAGCGGTATAATGAGGATGAAGAATATTGTAAATTTATTTGATCTTGCTGACGTTGACTTTACAGTCGAGTTCAATAATATGGACTATGTCATAGTAAAAAATAACATTTCCTTATCATCGTAAACTGTATCAAATTGGCAGGTAATAGAGACACTGGCACAATATTTATTACAAAAAAATAAACATTGAAAGTGCTTACCTTTATTGAACGCGACTGTTTCCCTCTTCCAAAGTTATATTTATTTAAGTTAAGGAGTAAGAAGTTGTTAATAACAATGTATGATCTGTTTATTAAATCTATTCAATACAGTAATGAAGTTTTTTATCAATGTGTCCGATGTTTTGTTGGAGCCAGAAGTCGCTTTCTTCCAAAATCTTTTTGGAGTTTTTGAGTTGTTCCTGAAATAAATAAAGAAATATAAATTAACTGCGAATCGGCTATACTAGACCGAGTCACGTGGTCAACGATATTAAATACCCTAGATGCGACAACACGAACAAAATCGTGCCCGAAACAAAGACAAGAAAGGTGCAGGTTCGAGTCCTCTCTGATGCCTGGATCGAATGGAATTATTTCTAGTAAGCTTCTTTAGATTTATAAGTAAATCGCTTTTTTATGTTGTAAGGGTGGCAAACGAGCAGGCCCGCCATATGGTAAGCGCCCATCATAGCCGCTTGCGATACAAAAAATAACACTCGCGCCGTTGCCATAATTGTAAATTATTCACGTTGTCTAATAGTTTAATGCTTAAATTAACAATATAATCAGGGCCGTCTTTAACCTATTGGAGGCCCTGGGCATATTAGAATAATGGGGCCCCCTATGACTTTGATGTGGATTATGACTTGAAAATGAAGCAAGTCGTACTGATGAGTGTACTAAGTACTGATGATTTTTCTTTAAAATGTTTATGTGCGTAGTATACCAAAATTTATCTAAGCATGCTGAAGTCGGAAAGTCTAATTTTTGGGCGAGAGTAGAATAGCTTCGTTTATGTAAAAGCTAGTAACTTGGTATTGTAGTCAGTCATTTAGGATCGATTCCAACGAATTATATAAGTTTTTTGGTAATAAATATTGGTTATCGTTTGGTGATCTAACAGGAACTAGTGACTTTGTATTTGATCTGAGGGGCCCTGGGCACTTGCCCAAAGTGCCCACTGGGAAAGAGGGGTCTGAATATAATAAACATAATGCTTACCGGCGGTATCGGGTACTCAGTCGGCAGATCACAACACTGCCGGATTATAATGTCGGCCATCTTGGATTTGACGCAGAGGCCGGCCTCCCAGCAGCCCTCCTGCAGCTGCCCCGTGTGCATGTGGTAGAAACGACCTAGGCCGTGCTTCAAGTTGTTCTGCCAATGGCCTTCGTAACGGTTTCCGTTCTCTACAAAATTTGTTTGTAATGAAAACTTATAAAAAAAATCAACTTAAGGTTTTTAAAACTTACAAATAAAAGGGTAGTAAGTATGTATGGCTCGGCAACGATTACTATAGCCGTCGACGTGATACCTGTAACCCTAGCACGAACCAATATCGAATTCGAATAGTTTGCGAGTCCGAAATGTCTATGTCAAATTTTGTATGGAAACTTGAACAGCAGCGCTAGAACAGACGTAACGAGAACTAAAAATCAGTACACATTTGACAATGACATTTCGCACTCTCAAACTATTCGAATTCGTACTGGTTCGTGCTTAGGGTACTGGTCCCATACCCTACACCGTGGATGGAAAAGAATAGGTAATGATTTTTTGGCGGCAGACTTCTTCCAGTGGAATTTTTTGAACGACCTCCGTGGCCGCGTGATTTGAACGCCGGGTTTCATGGTGTCGCCGACTCCAGAGGTCTCGGGTTCGAATCCCGATTGGGGCAGATGTTTGTGTGATGAATACGAGCATTTGTACTCCAGTCATGGAGGTTTTGATATGTATTTCTATATAAATATATTTCTATTTGTGCAGTATACGTATTCTATCCATTACCCTAGTATCCTAAAACACAAGCCTTACATTGCTTACTTTGGGGCTAGGAGGCTAATTGGTGTAATTGGCGTTAAAAAAAACTCCAGGCGAGCGTGCGCACCAAAGTGAGTGTCTGTAACATCTCTTGATAAGGTGTCGCTTTAATTACTACTACTAGGTATTTTGCTATACGTGTTTTTTATAAATCCCGTGCAAAAACGGATAGACCATGGAACTCATTTGTAAAAATGATTGTTATCTAAAGTGACAAATGCGCGATTAAAAAGTGCGCAAGTTTTTCCGTATAATGGAAACCGATCCTTTTCGGGGAAGGATGCATTTGGGTCATTGACTGGGTTCTTTACTTTTTCCCACTCACCTTGAATAAACATTCCGAGTCCCTCTTTCAAGTTGCCTTTCCAATATCCTACGTAGTAGGTCCCGTTGGCGTACCACATTTTGCCGTACCCGTGTTGCTGCCCATCTTTCCAATGGCCGCAGTATACGTCGCCGTTGGCATAATACCGCCAGCCGACGCCCTCTGGTTTGCCACGTACCCAATCTCCCCTATACTCGAGACTGAATTTTCCGTTTTCAAGACGATTGCTGAGAGTTCCAAAGCCGTGTCTGATTGAAGTATAAGCATTATAATGACGTTTTTATAAGCTGTCTGTTTATTTAACTATTTATTAGAAAAAGCAACAGTGGTGTCGATTCTGGCACGACATCCTATCCTTGTCACTTTCTATACAGAATGAAAAGGAGAGACTGATGTTAAATTTAGTTTTAAGTTTAGAGAATCACGCCAGAATCGATACCAGTATATCTACTTGTTCATTAGTGTCACATGACCGCATGGTACGATTTTAAAAGGTGCAATTCGGATCTCAGCTGCAGGCTGCATATACAGGCTGTACTTACTTGCAGCGGCTGCTGATACACGAATGCTTTATATACCTACATTTGTATGAAATACATTCGGAAACCCGGCTGCAGGCTGCAGATGCAGGCAGCACGTCAAGATTGAATAGCCCAATTTTCAAACTTTGACGCGCTTTATCTTTATAATTTTTTGGTTAATTGGGAAAAACATATTAAATGTCCATTTTGTTTTGAAACAGGTACCTAATCTAACTGACGGGCTAAAAAATCTCATTTACTTTACCTCGTCATCATCCTTATTCTATGATTGAAATTAAACTTAATTAATATGTATCCTGTTTACCTAAAACCTCTGTACCAATCGCCTTCATATAATTTTCCACTGATAGTCAGGAATGTGCCTTTACCTGTTAAAAAGGTACCTTGTTTTATACATTACTAGCTGTGCCCCGCGGTAATTACCCGCGGTTTAATAGGGATATTTTCCCGCAGTAAAACCTACCCTATGTGTTAATCCAGGATGTCAGCTAACTCCATACCAAATTTTATAAAAAACGCTCCAGCCGTTTAGACGTGAAGAAGTAACAAACATACACACTCACAAACTTTCGCCTTTATAATATTATTGTGATTGTGATGTCTTTTAATTTAAAGCTACTAGTAGGTACCTACCTACCTACGAAATACCTTATGTACCTACCTATCTAGATCAGAAAAAGAAAACACAAATAAGCAGGTATTCCACACCAATTTAACATAAATAAGTATTCCACGCAATTATTATCAACTGCTTGATAATTGCGTGTTTGGTGGTCCTAAGCCATATGATTATTTTTTACACATGGCTTTGAGTTTTGACCTTGTAAAAAATTGGTTGTAATTTATTAACCGAACTTTGCTGACAGTGTGGGAGTGCGAAGAGTCCAGTTCCAAAAATAACTGAACTGATGCTGTATTTGCTACTAGCGTCCGCCCGCGACTTCGTACGCGTGGCGTTAGTTATTCGTTGTTACAGAATGCGTTGAAGAAATAAAATGTTCACTGCTCGTTCCCCGTAGGTGATAGCGTGATAATATGTAGCCTATATTATGTTGACCCGACTTCTTAATAATATTCGTGCCAAATTTAAAGTAAATCCATGCAGTACTTTTTGAGTTTATCCCGGACATACGAACAGACAAAAATTCTAAAAACTATATTTTTGGCTTCGGTATCGATTGCAGATCACACCACAAGTATTCTTTAAAAAAAAATTCAATGTACAGTTTTAAATTTCCTACCATTTTATTATATGTATAGATGATACGCTGTTAAAATATTGCCAGAGCGGATTGCCCGCTAGAATTGGGGTACCGCGCCTGTCTGGCGAAGCAATCTAATTATTTACGCATTCATTATTTCTTCTAATAAAATACTTAGAATTAATAACGAGATCATATACAGTGAAATGGGTTGGCTATCTGAATCAATGCTGTTAAAAAATACTTACACGTGGGACCCGTAAACTCAAGGATATTTAAAAATTTCGAATATTTTTTACTAGTAGGTACCTACTTGCCTACATACCAATTCCAAATTAATGTTTAACGCAAACTTAAGTTAATATTGAGCTCTTTTTTTTGTAGGTACCTTCTTTCAAATCATGTTTCCAATCGCCAACGTATTTATCAAACCTCGAAGTAAATATTGCGTGGTGGACGCCGTTTTTGGTTGCTTTTTTCTCTGACACTATTGATATAGGAGTAAAATTACGTGGTTTTCTATAAAAAGGCATGTATGAATTATTGAATTGCTAATTTGTCTATATAAATTCATAAAATAGGTAATGTGCCCGATGTGATGATAAAATATATTGACATGAATTTGCCAAAGACAAAGACAAGACTCATTTTTTTTTATAAATTGTTTACCCATATCTATGGTTCATATCTATCCATTAACAAAGGAGATTGCTCAGCTCCCATACATGTTTGGCCTAAAAACCAATAACCATGAAAAATTGTTTCCTATATATTGTTTTAAACTTTCATGGTCACTAACATTATAGTAATATAAGTTATTTACGGGATTGTTACCATGTACCTTGTTTTTAGCGAGTTTCCGATATTTCGGCACTGTTGCAAGCGCCATGATCACGGAGTAAGTTACTCCGTGATCATGGCGCTTGCAACAGTGCCGAAATATCGGAAACTCGCTAAAAACAAGGTACATGGTAACAATCCCGTAAATAACTTATATTACTATAATTGTTTCCTAGATTCGAAATTATATATAAATTACCGTAGAAACGAATATTATCGACGGCCACTCCTGAGTACTTCTATAAACCATATACACTGAATGATTTTGAGGTTATGTTTGCAAATAGGCACATAGGTATTAGAATAATAAAAACCAAATAACTTATATAGGAAAATAGGGCAATCAAGCCAAGTACCGATATTATGTATTAGATTCAGGTATATAGAGCATGTAAAATAACAGATAATTGCCTGTTTTTAAAATTAATGCACAAGAGTAAGTTTTAAAATCATGATTATGGCATTGCGACTTTCAGAAGCAATCTTGTTTCATTTGACAAGTGTCTAACACTAATTACACTAACAAAATGCATGCCAAGGAACTGGTACCTGCTTACCTATGTTATGAGAAACATGGAACTGTTCATATCATAATTTTATAAAAACCAATAGGATATTTTCTTAGTAATAATTAGGTTTATAATGGTAAAAGGTAATTCTAATGTAATAATATATTGCGTAGGTTCATGATAGTTCTGATCAATGTGTGAAATATGTATATTCCTGACATAGCTTAAATATTCTGATAAGGTAAATTAATGAAATAAAACAACTTAAGTACTTTTATGTTGCGTTTAATATTACATATCATCTACATTTTGAATTAAAATATCATCGAAATATTTTATCAATCTTTACAAAATAGATTTGTTTTGATGTTATATAAACAACCTCGATCAGTCTTTGTGAATGTTACTACACCCATAGCCAATAAAAATGATTCGTATGTTTTCCAAACCGGTAAAAATAGAAGTCCTTTTTTAAAATTAATATATTATTTAAAGGTGGCCGTTAAAATCTAATGACTGTAAAATAAAGTATAAATTACGCCAAGAATTACTGTATATGTCAATATTTTATTTGCATTTAGGCCAATTTGACCAATCTCCTTTCCTGTTTCTAACTCTCGAATATAATATTTCGAAGATTACCTATTGCATGAATTTGATGAGTGGTGAAGATTCACAACTGGACTCAGCAGGTGGCGCTTCAACCACGATCTATGATTTCTATTTTCCATCAAAATTACGGGCCTGCTAATGTGTTACAGTAACCAAGTTGAAATTAACCATTATTTCGGTCAATAAAACACAAATATGGGTTACACTAACGACATTTTATTCATATTAAAATAATATAACAAGTAAGCCTTAACTAAACCACAAAATAGATAGTACAGAAGGTAATCCACATACAAAATGCGCTTGAGCAACGCACACGTAGACACCGCTCACGGACACAGTATGTCGGACCACTCCGGACCAGGGCGAGCGCAGCGCGTGTTCCACCCGCTTAAGACACGCGTCTGTGAACTTATTGTGCAAAAATGGGCCAATATTTTTTTTTATTATATCTCTGTAATAGCAGGTTGTTTAAATTCAACAGTAAAAGGTGAATAGTTTCGTTTTTAAAAACGTTTTTATTTTATTTGTAATATAACATAACCATTAAGATATTTAAATTATTACTGGTTTATATTTCCGTTCTTTCTGCTTCATTCTCGACAATAAATCAGACAACTAGATACGAGTGCGTGGCTACCACGATAGTTTTTTTGTAATCAAGCCAAAGTTGACAATCCTAGCGCGACCGCCGAGCAAAATTGCAAAATGAAGTACATTCATGAGATTACCTTCTGTAGTCCCTATTTTGTGACTAAACGTTTTACGCGGTACCGTGTGCCTTCTTTAAACCTCTACTTAGCTCAATAAGCTGCTGGTAATATTCCCTGAAGCCTTGTAAAGCTAATTCCTGTTGGCTCTTCATCATAGAGTTGCTGACTATGTATTTCTCTATGCAACTCACGCATTTGTTGTCAAGTTGAATATCTTCTTCCGTGAGTCGGTCTGGTTTCGTTAATTGTATCGGCGTAGGAAGAATCTGGAAACGTAACATATTTATGTTGTTTACGCACTTAACTTACAATATAAGGGGGTTATTGCCTTATTACAACTCCTATCACGAGCTTTCAATTTGAAATTTGTGACGAGATGTTATTTTACGTCCTTCTCCCATGAAATCCCCGAACATATCTAAATGCCAAATCAACTGAAGTTAGAAAATCAAGGTATAGGGAGCTGGTTTATGAGTCATAGCACACTTTCTCTACTCCATCTATAAGGAAGGTCTGTGCCCCAGCAGTAGGGACATTAATATGCTGATGATGATTTATGTTGGATATAATATAATGAATAAAAAGTTATAGATACCTCATGGGCGAGTATCTTAGCATTGTCTCCTTCGGCCACATCACCATGAATCTCATGTCGTAATGCAGTAAGTAAAACCGCTTCTCTAACTGCACTTGACTGCAGCAACTCAAGCATCAGGTTGTCCATATTCTGGTGCCAGGTTATGTAGAAAGCCATGGGACCGAAATGTCTTGTCGATCTAATAAAATAAATAAGTTTTTTTTATCATGTTATGATAAGGTGGTAGTTGCTCCTTGATGCAGTGGTTACTGCATTTAATCTGCAATTGAGGTTCAAATAAAAAGAGTAGATACAGTCAGGCAGTCGCGTTTCTAGAGTGTACCGCTGAAATTGTGGTGCATGACCACAGTTCACTTTAGTCACAATTCATCACAGCAACTCTATTCATTCATAAAACTATAAAAAGATATTTATCTCAAAAATCACAGTTTGTCATGAATGGTGATTACTTATTCGCCATTTATTATCAAGAAAAAGACAACAATATAGCTCAGCCGTTTGTAGAGAGAGAAAAGAAAACACAGTCGGTTGCCAAGCAACGCGGACACGCCGTTTCGCTCGCGCTGCGTTGAAGCAAACAGTTCTGTCTCGCTCGCTCGATGGAATGTTAATTTACATAAGTGTGTGCGTGTGTGTGTGTGTGTGTGAAAGTTGATTATGTAGTTGAGTCGGTGCATATTTTATTTGATGCTAGTATGAGCGTACCGTATGTTCCCTTTTTATTTAAATCTAAGGTCTGCATTTGTGGAAGTTAAGCATCTTTTTCATTGTCAGTGAAAGAACGGATGACCAAAACTTCATTATCTCGAGGTCCGAGTTGTTTGGAAGATACATTTAACATTTTGATTGGGTAGTTGCCACACACACAGACACTTTTAAGTGGGAAATATTTTTGCAAAAAGACACACCACTACACATATATCTAAGTTCTAGATACTTTTTCAAATTATTTCATATTCTATGAAAAATTAGAATGTAGATCGTATAATATTCCTTTTATAGGGCTTGAAAAATCAGCCCTAAAAATAATTGGGAGCAAGTTTACCTATTAAATGTACAATTAAGTTGAAAAAGACACATAACTAGAGTTTCATTATGACTATGGTACCTTAATTTCTCAAAGTTTTTGTTCATATCTATATGCTGGTATGTGATGCTGGTTATTTTCTGGTATGTAAGCTCATCTGGTTCGTACTGCAAACAGGCTCGGTCCAGTACAAACTCATATTCTTGTTGTTCTAAAAGGGTATTAAATCTCTCTTCATCAGTAAACATGACTGGTTCTCTTAGTTTACGTCCATTTAAAGGAAAGTATGTCTGAAATATTTATTTATTAGAAAATAAGATTGTACGGTGAAGGGCACAGTAATCAGATTATTTAAAAAAACATGATAGTGCTTCTCTACCTGATTCAATCTCTTTCTGACATCATGATCACAACTGCGGAGAGTACCATCAGGGTCCCTGAAAACAAGAAATATTAACATAAGAAAATTGAAAGTTTGAAATTCATAATTAAGATAACTTTGGTTGATGTATAAATCAAACAAATTTACTAGGAAAATACTTCTTTCTTAGATTTAGAAAATATGAAATACATTATATACAGGCACAAATTTTGCATATTTGAAACAGATGATTTTATTTAACCATGATGTTACAGTACAATAGATATATACCAGGGATGTTATGGAGGTAAATTTATCACAATAGAAGTCGGAGTAGGAGTTTTTAAATTTTTTATCGGAGTCGGAACCGGAGTCGGGGTCAGAGGCAGAGTCAGAGTGGTCACAAAAGAGATATTTTTCATTAAATAACATTTTTTTCTTTTTAATTCTAAAATAACCTTTTTTCATTTAAATTTACTTATTATTAACACAGACCAGCGTTGCCAGTTTTTTTTTGCCAAGTCGGGATTTAGGAACTATTTCAGTGAAAAAAAACGGGATACTTTCGACTAAAGCAGGACATAGTAAAAAAAACGTATATAATGAAAAGTTTTTGAATATCTATCTTTTTATTTCAGTTGAAATTACGTTTACGTGACACTAGATAGGTACCTAGTAAAAATATCCATAGAAAATATATGTTAATAAAAATATGATATTTTAAATCAGATTTACCCTATCGTTAAATAGTTGGATCTTTGTTCGAGAGTTCTTCATTACGCGCCGGGCAGGCGGCCCGTCTACACTTGTCTGAGCCACCCGCCAGCGCGACACGAAAACGAAATCGAAATCGGGACGACCTGCCAAAATCGGAACACCTGGCAACGCTGACACAGACTTCCAAGGCGACGGGTATGAACCAGTTCGTAACAATCGATGCAGGCCGCCGGCGCCGCTGCTATATCATGCTTTGACCTCCGATTAAAACCTCCGATTTTAAAAGTGTCGGAGCCGAAGTCGGAACCGAAGATGTAGTAATAATCGGAAGTTCCGACTTAACGGAGTCGGAGTCGAAGCTCCGTAACATCCCTGATATATACACACAAATTTATTTTTAAGAACAATATTTGTGTTCTATTATATTTTTATTTCCATATATAAAATATGGAAATAAATAAAATATGGAAGAAGTACGTCAAAAGTTCAGCTAGAGAAAATTGGAGAAGAGTTTAGAATAGAGAAGGGAGTAAGACAGGGGGACCCTCTGTCTCCTACACTGTTTTCTGCAGTTTTAGAGGAAATATTCAGAAACCTAGATTGGGAAGAACTGGGAATAAACATTAATGGTACCAAATTACACCATCTACGGTTTGCTGATGATCTCATATTGTTTGCGGAATGTCCAGCAGTGCTTCAACACATGCTGATAAAACTTGCGGAGGAAAGTGAGAAAGCAGGGTTAACCATGAACCTGACAAAGACCAAGGTCATGACCAATGGTCCCAAAATAAATATTCTCATAAAAAATGAACTTATTGAATACGTTGATGAATATATATATTTGGGACAAGTGATAGCAACAGAACTACAAATGCAAAAAGAACTACAGCGTAGAACTAGTAACACATGGTCACAATACTGGTCCCTGAAACAAATAATGAAAAACAATGATATGCCTAGCCTACACAAAAAGAAAGTATTCGACACTTGCATACTTCCAGTACTCACCTATGGATGCCAAACATGGTCCTACTCAAAACATACAACACAAAGGCTAAAAGTATGCCAACAAGGAATCGAAAGAAGTATGTTAGGTATCAAACTAAAAGACAAAGTTCGTCTCTCTGCCATAAGAAAAAAGACGAAAGTGGTAGATGTAACCAGAAAGGCCAGTACACTGAAATGGAGATGGACTGGGCATATCATGAGGTCGAAGAGGAACAAGTGGACAAAAGATATCATGGAGTGGTATCCCCGAGATGGTAAACGTAGAAGAGGTAGACAATACAAAAGATGGGAAGACGATCTACCCAAGAGTTGGCGACGAGCAGCCACAGATAGGAACCAATGGCCCAATTTGGAGGAGGCCTATGTCCAAGGACAACCTGATTGTACACGTGCCGATGTCAGCGATTAAACCAAATTTTTTTTAATTTTAAGTTAAGTTATTTTTAAAATGTACAACAGTGAATAAATTTTTATTTTTATTTTTTTATTTAATTTTTATTTATTTTATATTTTTATTTTAAGCATTTTACTGCTAGATGTTTAGATCTATATTTTTGCTTTAATATTTGTGTTTTTAAATATAACCCATAGTTGTTTAAGCTTCGTCTAATTAGCAAAAAAGATTTACAAACAACTTTTATCACATAAAGTACTTATTTACCTTTCTACAATCAATCTGTGTTCATTTGCTATGCCAAATGTTATATCCGTGAATAGATATTTAGCAGTGTCATATCCAATAAGGGCAGGATCTTCAGACAATATTTCATTAATTGGTTGTTGAATCTGAAATTCAATATGTGAATCAATATAATATCTATTTTACAAAATGAATAGGTACCATATAATATTTTTTATAGTGTATGTGTATACAGATATGCTTAGAATATAAATACACACATAAAGTGAAAAAGAAACATTATAGAAATAATAAAACATAATTATAAGTTTTGGTTAGTTTGATTTAAATAAGCTTCTAAAGGCACATAAGTTAATTCCATTGACTATGTAATAATTTTACATGTAAAATAGTGCTATAATTAAGCAAGGCATCAAGCTATAGTTATTTTCCAGAATGTCTAGACTAACTAGAAGGATAGTTCCAACCACTGAATAAAGTAAAATTCTTTTGACAGTTTGCAGAATAAAAACTCCTACTTTAACTACAGGTGGCATCTGTAAGAGTCGGTCCGCCTTTTTATTAGCTTTTGCTAACTCCGCTTCTAGTGCTTCATTAGTTAAAAACTTATAAATTGGTGTCGGTAATACATCTCTCCCACTGCTGGTTCTTTTACGGAAAACTTTGGCAAAATCAGGCCGGGTTAAGCGCTTCAGCAATACTTGAACGTTTCGTGAAAAGAATTTCGGAGCAGGATCCTCTTTGCCATCTAAAATTAATATATACATTAAAATTAAATCAAGTGAAGAAGGCATAAATAAACAAACTATGAAACACACTCACCATATATATTGGGCAATATGCTTATATTTCTGTATGATACAGTAAACAACTGAGTATCACTGTTTCTTACTAAAAATACTTTTATATTATTTTGAACTAATTTACTAAGGAAAATAGTCATTTTATAATAATAAATGCAGAAGCAAAAATTGCGAAAACTGACAGGTAACCTAAAAACAAGGGTTTAGTTTTAATTTTCGCATTGAGAATGCAAAGGATTATTAATCGATCATCAATCAATCTAATGCTGGCATTAAACTTGACTAAAATAGTCATGTGTAATGATAAAATGACAAGTAGCAAATACGATATGTCTTTTATGAGAAGGTAAAGTTCTGTCCCGCATGCTGGATCTAGCCTCTGAATAAGTAAGAGGATCTAGCAAGATGCTGGATAGTGCGTAGAGGATTCAATCTGTGGCATATAGCTGTGAGTGATCCTTGTGCTACTCTGTGACCGACCAAACCAAAATCCTAGCCCAAAGAGTAGTATAGTATACCGGAAATCCTAGCCTGTCAGTCAGCCACAGAGTACATTCTGCATTGTTATATCAGTCAGCCAAAATATTGTGCTGTACTGTAATCAAACGTGCAAATAAATTGTGTAGCAAGGATTAATGTTTGAAATTTTTACTTTCTGTTAAGTTGATGTGTAAAATACTGTTATCATGTCCAAAAGGAAAGCCGGAGTGAACGATATCATTTATGAATTGGACAATGATGATGTCGAAATAAGTAGTGAAGACGAAGCAAAAGAAGCTAAATGCAAACGTTTGGATACAGATTTAAATGCATTTTGCGTCGACAATAAACATGATAATCAAAATAAAGATATTTTAATTAATCTTACTGAAGAAGAAATAGACACTACACCTAACTCTGTAAGTACATGTAATGGAGGGAAAACGTCGCCTGCCGAGATTCCCTCCGGTAATAATAGTGCAAGTATCTTTGAGACTGATGAAGCTGATAGCGGAAAATTATTAAATAACGATGGCAATAAAACAACTTTATTTCATGAAGATATTATTGTTGATTCACCAACTTCGAATAGTGATTTAGGAGTAGTGGGATGTGAAAACAGAACTCCTTTAATATCTGTTCGATTCAAAGATAAGAAGTTAGCTGCTAGTTACAAAAGAAAAATAAAGACTTTTATGTTAAATCTTATCAAATTACATGAAAATAATTCTTCTGAATTAGACAGTGAAACTGATATAGAGTTGGATATTTGGCCTGAAGATTTAAATGAAGATGATTATGAAAATGATGATAACACTGAGCAGGATGGGCTGTTCTTTGTGGATACTGCACCTTGCTCATCTGCCGATGAAGTACCAACTTATACTCAAGTAGGCAATTTTTCAATAGTTTTCTTTTAAAAAAAATCCTAAAAAAATTGCTTTTAATTTTGTCATAAGTAAAAAAAACACCAATTCCCTATGAAATGGAAATGATAAAAATTCAGCAAAATATTTGCAGGTTTCAACATTAATATCAAACAACCCAATTAAAGAGCCATCTCCACCCCCTACTTTACGGCGCACTCCTCTTTGCTTCAATTGCGATGGGCCCCATCAACTCCGAGAATGCAGGATGCCAAGAAATAATACTCGGATAGCAGAAAAACGAAAAAATATGACCCGAGTTGGGTATGGATCATTTTTTTTTAAATATTGTAATAATCTTAAGAATTTGAAGCACACATGCAATTTAGATTCTCAAATCACTTTGGACATAGTAAATATTATATTGTGTATATGTCAGTCAGTTGTACCACTGGTAATTATCTCACTGTTGCATGCTAATATTAAACTTGCATAATAAAGTAACTTACTTAAATGATATGAGACAATGTGATTCAAATTGTTTGTTTGTATTGTAGCCGTTATCATATAGAAGATGAGCAGAAATATGGACATCTTATACCAGGGAGGATATCTGGTAAACTTCGCCATGCTCTGGGTCTGAAGAGACATGAACATCCACTTTACATATACAAAATGCGAATGTTGGGCTATCCACCAGGATGGCTAGAAGAAGCTCGAATATCGCACTCTGGGATTACAATGTTTGATTCAAGTGTTAGTTTATATATAGAAATTAACTACTTCTTAGTTTTATCTTAATTGAAGTTAAAATAAACATTTGAGAATCTAGAAATAACTTACTATTGCATTTTATAATTTAAAGTCACAGAGTTATAAAATGATGTACTAAATTAAGTGAAAAACAGCATAGTAGTAATAAATAATTTATAGGGAACTGCCATCCAAGATCCTGAAGAAGAGGAAGGTGAAGTCTGTGAGCCAGGGTCTAGGGATAAATTTGACATCAAAAAAATCCTGGACTTCCCTGGTTTTAATGTCCCTGCCAGTTCACGCTACAAAGAGGTGCATACTATATCATACTTTTTTTGCTATAACTATTTTCAATTACTAATGGCTGGTAAGAAATAATGCCTCAACTATTTTTGTAAATAATAAATGAGAAGTGCAATATTCTACAAATTCAGGACATCTTTCCATTGGATGGATGAAACTCATTACCTATTTAGCATGACCAGAATTTCAAGTTACTAACAAAACTAAACCTGATTAAATAAAAATTGTTAATTAAAATTTTTGTTCTATGAAACGGCTTGTTTAGTTTTAGTTATCATGTCTTTTAGGAAGCCCATTTATTAGGATTGCCGCCAATGTCCGAGCAAGACAGTAAGATCGCTATGCTACAAATGCTCGCCCCCAACGCCATGAAAGCATATAAGCGAAAAAAGTTGACATTATTCCCATCATCGGAAAACAACACGGCTACACAGGAAACTGCCGAAATGGATTTAGATAGTGGAGAGGGTAAGTGATTGCTTTATAGTGCTGGTACCAAAACCCTTCGCAACAACGACCAACTAGAACCGACGTCGGTCTTAATGACGCTCTCTAGTTGTGCCGACGCCCCTGAGTCATGAGTGGCCTAGTGTCTCTAGGAAAGCCATCTGCCTAGAAAACCACAGCCTCTAGCAGTCGCCATTTTTTGGCTGGAAGTCAATGACATTAAATACCCTAGAGACACCATGTACGCTCAAAATGTGTCCCAAGTGCTTGAACACCACTCGAGCACTTCTTGGTTCACAGTCACACGCGGACCGTTCAAAAGTCAAGTTGCCGCAGAGCTCCGTGAAAAAATGCGAAAAACACTTATAGTATCTTTTTTTTCGACAGATTTTTATTCAATATTTGTTAATTTAACACATTCGAAACAAATTTTGTTCTAATACTTAGTATAAACTGATTTAATAGAATATATTTGTGATATTGAAATGCATATAGCCGTCTCTTTTCCTCGCGGTTCATACCTGCTATATTGCTGACAGTTCATCCAGAATTGCGAGTAGAGTCAAAGAAATAAGGCCTATATTCTTTCGCATATAGCAATAAGTCGTATAATTTTACGATCTTGCATTTCGCACTGTCATAACTCTGACGCATGCGTTTTTATTAAGACCTGATACAGTATGCATTAAAGGTGACTTTCAATGTTTAAATAATGCCTTATATTGTTTTTAACTACCCGATCATCTTACGGAGCGCCGTGAATCGTCCAATGTACCTTTTGGACAGGTTTCGGGCACGATTTTGTTCGTGTTGGTGTATCTAGGGTGTTTAATATCATTGCTTGAAGTCCCCTAAGGATATCGCCGCCCCTAACGCGGTGATGCTGTAAAGGTGTCATTTACGACCCACAGCATACACTCCCAAAGAAAGGCGACAGTATTAGATTATGTTCTATATTATTTCTAATTATATTCAAACTTTCAAACATATTGCATTTTATTATTGGTATCTGCATAGAAGCGGCAGAGTTCCCCTCGGTGCCTCCGTTACCAGACGAAGCGCCGCCCCCTTTGCCGGTAGCGCCACCTCCGCCGCCATCAACTCCACCACCGGAATCACCTCCACCGGCCCCACCAGGAATAGAAGACGAGATCACTGAAACTTCCAAACAGGAGACTGAGAGCGCTGACGAAAAATCCGCTGATGACATAGAAGTAATTGAAGTCATGAAGGTGAAAGATATACCAGTGCCACAACCTGTGATGATCACTATAGATGATGACGAGGTAAGTGAAGTTTTTATCAGTGTTTAACAGAAAACTGTTACAACTTGATGTAAGATCCAATTCAGAACCTTGAAGATTGGGAACTTATTATTTGACGCTCCGCTAAGACTCCTGTGCCGTTCTTTTTAGTCTAATATCATGCATGAGTGGTTGCGTTGTATTTTATACCTTATGACTCTCAAGCTCGATATTGATTTCAGGACAAGTCTCAGGTAAGTAGTGGACGAGACAGCCCTACGCTCGATGATCTTGAAGAAAAAAAGCTTGCATTACTTAACGCACTCAAAGGCGAAGTTGGACTAAAAGACAATTTATCAATTAATTCCGAAATTGAAAATGACGGCAATAACACAGCTAATGATGAACATATACTTGACGAATGCAGCAAAGCACCTAATGACGAATCTAACTCACAAAATGAGAGTGACAAAGAGAAGACCGAGCCTTCAAATATAGTTAATGAAGAAACTGTTGTCGCAGAAGGTATTCCTGTGAATGAAACAAACACAATTTCTGACAGTCAATGTAATTTATCGACACCAGAAAATAAAACAGGGAGTGTCAAAACCACCTCTTATGGTACACCCGTAATGAATATAGCGTCTTCTTACGTTAAATTGCCGAGTGATGATAAGTTTGCAAAAGACATTTGTGACGTTATAAACTTTGAGAATCTGCCCAACTCAACAGGGAAGTATAAGAAAATTTGTAGTTTGCTTAAAAAGGTCAAAAGTGAAGTGGATAGGATACAGGAATCATGATTATTGCTTTCCCCACCTTATAAAGGTGATAGTTGATGCCATTGAACTCTTAAGATAGACAAATGTTACATAATATTTGGCAAGTACTGGGTACTATAATGTAAAAACTAAATATTTTTATAATATTAATTTAAATTTTGCAGTCACATTTGACTATGAGTTATCTATCCTATAGGAGCAGTTTATTCAAAGTTTTTTTAAGAAATTTTATTTGGATCTAAAAATATAAAATAGTTTGCTGAAAAGGTAAGTTGTATTTGTACCAATAAATAGTTTTATTAAAATTTGCACTGTCTTATTCTGGTTTAATCTATTTTAAATGAGTCAAAATAAAAATAAAAAACGTTACATATAGATCAATTTATTTGCACATTTGATAGAATCTCAAAAGGTGATGTATAACATAATGTATAGGAAAATATTTTTGTGTAAATAAACCCAGCCCATAAAAAAGAAAGTACCTACATAGTTTTTTTTACTAAGTAATATTTGAGACTGTCAAAGTTATAGCATACTTAACAATAATCTTTTCTGTTATATTTACTGGATAAACAAATTATTAATAATTAAAAATATAGCGAAAACTCTTAAACAGCATGGAATTGAAATAATAATTGCGAATTTAAAAAAAATAGTCTAGATAAGATCACAGAAATCTATTATTGGAGTAAGATATAATTTTTATATTAGGTAAAAATATTATTTGTCTTCCCATTGGGTTTTTACTTTAATATTTTTTACATCCAATATTATCCAAAATACTATTCTAGACGATGCTATTAACATAACATCTTACATTTTCAGTTCATTTCGAAATAAAACTTAGCACCGTAACACGAAAAGTGTAGTTAAGAATATTACATCCCATGGTAAACTAATCAAAAAAACAATCGTCTCTTATGATCATCATAGACGTGGATCACAAATGAATAACTTGTTTTGTAGTTTAAATCAGATCTTTTCACAATACAATGCCAATAATTTGATTATTGTTTTACACTGACACTTATTGTAAATTACAATATGCCTACAGACAAGATCTTAGTAGTTGCAATCAACGTGGTGCTTGTTATTGGACCGCACGATCCAATAAAACTTATCTAATACTTTCTATAATTCAATATAATACAAATTACTGGAATCCAAACATCGTGACCCCTTTTTAACGTCCCGTACGATATAATCCTATGTGGATTTAAATTCGTGGAGGCGTTGGAGGAGCTCCATCACGATCCTGAAATAAAATTAAAAATCAGTTACAGAAATTTTAAACCGTGTAATATACTACATATTATTAATAATACCAATACACTATTTTCTGACTGGTGATTCCGGGGTCATACAGCCAAAAATAAACAAATAAAAATGATGTTTCCGATATCAACAGTATTTTAGCTGCTGGAGTTTATAATGCAGTTCTGTGTAATGAACATGGTATGAGGAACGGGCGGCGATCAAAACAGTTAAATACACATCTGGTCAAAATAGTTTTTTTTACAGTCCGGAGGTTTCGGGCCCGCTGAATTTGAATCTCAACTCATTTTCAATCAAAACCTAAAACAGTGTTAAAACTGTAGTATGTGTCATTCAGTTTTTTCTCTTGTACAATATAATTTAATGTAATTATACCTGTTTTTTTTCGTCGGCTCCTCATATAACAGAATAGGAACACCCCAGTCTTCTCCAGCAAAATGCCATACAACATATTATATTGCTGGCATTATTTGATTACTTCTAAAGGTTTCAATAGAAGGAAATGTATTAAAGACCCTGACTTATCTAGTGTAAGATATGGGCCAAGATTTTTTTTTTTAGAAAATTTAGATACTAGCAGTATTATTCTTAATATATAGGAACTAATTATGGAACAGAGAAACAGTCGCAGAAGCAAAACAAACTTCAATTCAGTAGTTTCTTATTTTGTGTCGGTCTATGTTGTGTGATTCGCCGCGCGCCGTCTAGTCCATTCTATTTATATTGTAATTATTGTAAATAGCGGCCTCTGGCGACATCGACCGCGTTAACTTTAGTTTTTTGATAATCCCTCAGGAATCTATGTTTTTTCCGGCATGAAAACTATCCTATATCTCAATTCAGGTCATTAACTATATGCGTACCAAATTTCAGACAAATCCGTTAAGTAGTTTTTGCGTGATTGTTACATTTGGAATATTAGAAGAAGTAGGATATAAGATGTCTTTTGAATTTAGTCACACCGAAATGCAAACTAAGGCAGATATATACAGTACAAACATAAAAGGAGCCAAAGTTTTGGAGTTCGGTTCAGTGTCTATTTGACAAAAACATGCTCTATTATACTGTTTTCAAGGGTCATAAAGAACCGACATGCGCGAAGGCTTGAAGAGTTCCAATCTCCGGAACAGGCCGGGTTTCGAAGTGGTTATGGTATCATTGACCACCTCCACACAGAACGGCAGATAGTCCAATCGCCCCGTGTTTTGCCTTCGTGGACTATGAGAAAGCAATTGACTGTGCATCGGGACTTGAGTCTGTTATGGACTCCTTGCAACGATGCCAAATCAACTGGCGATATATTGAGCTGTTGAAATACAAAATCACCAGACTGAACATATTAACTTGCGACGGAGAGTGCGACAAGGTGGTGTTATATCACCAAAACTGTTCACTAACGCATTGGAGGATATGTTCAAATTGTTGGACTGGAAAGACCGCGACATCAACATAAACGGCAAACACATTCTACGATTCGCAGACGACATCTGTCATATGGCCGAATCGTTGTAGAAGTTGCAAAAAATACTGAACAGCTTAGCTGATTAACTGATTTGTCTGCGCGTATTAGGTTGCGGATGAACCTGCATATAGGGCCATGCTTTTGATGACTCCTGCATAAAGTCGGCGGCACTCATTGTTCGGGCCGCCGATGTTAGGCAGGAGTCTCCCCAGCGCCGTTGCAGCGCCCACCAGCCTCGAGGACTGTCGCTGGAAGTGCCCAGGTGCTAGAGGTGGCGCCCCAAAGGCACCCTTACCCCATCCACAATAATGGATGCATCCTCCGGCGGCCCTCCCCTCGGGACGTGGAAAAGTATCGCCTCTGTCTTTTCCACGGCCACGTCCAGGCCCAGCTGCCGTATACGCTCGATCACCATGGAAGCCCCCACTTCGGCTAGGCGCTTCGCGCCGCCAAAACTGTCGCCCGATGCTGTGATGAGGGTATCGTCTGCATAACAGACGATCCCCAGGCAGGACGACGCGAAGCACCCAGTCGTATCACATGTTCCACAGGAGTAGTCCTAGGACCGACCCCTGTGGAACACCACGCCTCATACACCTGGACCTCAGTTCTCCCCTCGAGTTGATGTAGAGCACTTCCCGATCATTCAGGTAGTGCTCCACAACCGCCCGAACTCGTATCGGGATCCTGTGATAGGCCATCGCCTGCCTGATACACTCGAAAGGGAGAGTGTTGAACGCATTCCTAATATCTAATGAGATTGCCATCAACACTCCCCCTCCCCGCGTCCTATCCTTTCCGATTCCCTTTTCAAAGCCATCAGCGCGTCAACCGGGGATCTCCGCCGTCTGAAGCCATACTAGCACTCCGCCAGCCCCGGCCCTGTGGTCTCTAGATGCCGGGCGATTCGGTCAGCAAGTATTCTTTCGAATATCTTGCCAGCCTCGCCACCGGCAGCACCACCGGGCGGTAGGCCGACAGAGTGTCAGTGGGCCTACCTTCCTTCTGCAGTAGGCAGAGGCGTCCCTTTTTCCACCGCTTGGGGAAGACACCCGTCTCCAGGCAAGCGTTGACCAAAGCAAGGTATCGATCCCCCAGGTGCTTCAGCGCGATCCCTGGATACCCCTTCTGGTCCCGGCGCCTTCTTTTTGGTGCCAAGTCCCTCCATCACCCCCTCGAGCTCCTCTCTGGTCACCGGGGGGTACCTGTTCTGATTCCTCCAACGGCTGGAGCCCTACCATCGGCGGAATTGCCGGAACTTCTTCCGGAAACAGTGAGGTAACCACCCGATCCAGCAACTCTGGGTCCATCGTCTCCGTGGCGGGAGCCTGATGACCGAGGCGGTTGCGTACCATTCGGTACGGCCGGCCCCATGGGTCCCTGTCTAAGACTGAGAGGAACTCCTCATGCGCTGCTCTTGGCCCTACAGATGGCCTCCTTAAGGTCCCTCTTTGCGCTGGCGTAGGCATCCCGCAGTCGGTCTTCCTCCTGCGAGTCCCGCCTACGCCTGGATAAACCCAGGTCTATTGGTGGCCCTTGGCATCCCAGCATCACATGACCGCAAGTGACGCCCCGAACCCATCCGCTAATTGATCTACAGGACCAACCCAGTTCCGATCCTGAGCTCCCCACGCCTGTACCATGGCTGTCTCTTCAGCCAGTTCGCGGTCAAGCCTAGTGAGCGCCCACCTGGGTCCGAATATACATATATACCTAGAGCAGACGCTCCAACGTGGGGGAAACAACTTCGGCACAGAGATTAGGCGGCGGCAATACAGCTGGGCTGGGCATCATTTGGCAAACTTTTTTGGCAAGTATTTTCGTCGCCCATAACACAAAGTCTGAAATCTAAGGTTTTTTTAACCAGTGCGTCCTGCCCGAGATGACGTACAGAGCCGAGACATGGCCGCTAACGGTAAGACTAGTCCACCAAATTAAGGTCGCTTAGCGAGCTATGGAAAGAGCTATGTTGGGGATTTCTCTGAGGGATCGGATCCGTAGCTCAATGGGTAAGCAAACCAAAGTGGCAGTGGGCTGGTCGTATATGCTGTAGACCGGACGGCCGCTGGGGCAGACAAGTCCTGGAGTGGAGACCGCGAAGTGGCAAACATAGTGTGGGGCATCCTGCGACTAGATGGAGTGACGACATCCGAAAAGCAGCAGGTAATGATTGGATGAGGAGTGCTGAAGACCAAACTCAATGCCGTGCCATGGGAGAAGCCTATGTCCAGAAGTGGACTGATGCGGGCTGATGACGATGAGGTGTAATTCTACTAAAAATACAATTTTCATGTATGGAGTGACTCCATACTAATTATGTAGATAAAAATGTAATGTAAAATGGTTTAAAAACTAATGGAATTGGAAAAAAAAAACAAAAGATTGAAGAATTGCCATTAAAGAATAATAAGCGAAGATTAATTAGCCTCTTAGTTCTCAGGCGGTATGATACCGTAAACAAGCTGATAAATGTGCA